GGGAATGTTTTTAAAACACACCCAGAATGGTCAGAGCAGGCTGTTTCGAATGTGAAACGGGGCAGTTCAGATTTGAAGCAGTTCAAATTTAAAACATTTCCGCGCCTCTATGCAGGTGTTTTCCTTTACCAATAATCAACGTATAAGATATGGCAGTGTAAACTCTTGTGCCGGACAGGACAATGAAAGAGGAAGAAGAGGAAGAGGAAGAGGAAAAGAGACAGAAAGAGAAAGCAGAAAGACTTACCCTGAATTTGTAATGTGTGCTTCTTTTAAGATTCTTCACAGTACAGGTTCGGTCTTCTCCAGTGTACCTTGGATGAAATGCACTATCCTAAAGAGAAAATTAGGTTAGCAGTTAAAGAGTAACAGCAAGCAAAAACAAATTAAGGAATCTCACTCATAGTATGATGCACCAAGCAATAATACCACTCCCACTTGGGCATGAAAAGTTTGTTCTTCTATTGTGGAATTTGCCATTATTTGCAAATTAAAGTCTCTCCCTCGGAATTTTGCAGAGGATGTTGCCACGTTCTGGATTACTTCTCTCTGGCCTCAGAACCCAGTCTCTGTGACTTCAGTTATGGGCTGAGAGTGAACTTTGGTCATCTGTTGCCAAATCATAGTATGGTATTTCACTGCAGCTTTTTTAAAAGATGAAATATCTTGAACGATTGAAATTTTAAGGCTGAGAACTGCACATGAAAGCCTGACCTTTTCCGTATACTGCTTTTGCTCTAAATCACTGTCATTCAATACACAAAACATTTAAATCCCCATTGCATTCCTACTGTCACAATAGTAGTATTCAAGGGCCCTTATATGCTTTTACTTTGATAAGTAAAGTGGCTCCCTCTTGTGTCAAAACGAAAAACTGCAAATACATCACAACGCTGCTCAAGTTGTGGAATGTTCTTTTAGTAACATCCCACCCGTCCACCAAGTACGTACTGATAAAAATCGGGAGCTTTGCCAGAGCAATAAAGCAAGGTAGAACATTTTAGGGAGGGATCAAAATAATAGCTATGGAATATTCTGCATTTATGGATCAACAGTCTGAGCTGTTGTGCTAGCATGTATGGAAATGAGACTGAATTATGGCACTGCTCCCCAATGCAGGATAAAATGTTGGGGCAAAATGCCAGCAATATACAGTATATATAAAAAGCCAAGTTCTTGGATGGGTACAGCGGCTTCCCTTTGTGGGCAACTGGAAAAGCTGCCAAGAACAGATGTCTCATAGGAGCTGCCTTGAGATGGACAGATCAGGAACTCTTTATACACTCCGTCAGATATTTAAAACACCTTTCAGATATTTAAGAACTTCTATGACTCATTTATTGCAATAAGCTGTTAGGATGGGACTGCAGTCCAAAGGAAAAACCGAACAACCTTGGCTTTCTCACAGGGAGCTGAGGAGGTGACATTACATTCCCTTGAGTGCATCTGTGTTACAGAGGCATATTGTGCCAACTCAATAGGAACAAAGAGCATTGGCTGCCCGCACAAGAAAATACTGGGAAATTTAAAATCTTTGTTGGTACACTGCAAGGCCCAGTGGAAACTGAGGCCAGCTGAGAGTATTTAGAAAAGTTTTCTATTGGCTCAGCTACATTTATGGATTTAGGGCACGGGGCAGAATTATTCTAGCTTCCCTCTAGTGCTACATTTCTATGATGGCAAAGCAAAAATAAGGGGGACGCGGTGGCGCAGCGGCTTAATGACGCCGAAAGTTGCCGGCCAGAAATGGCTGACGCTTCGGGGTTCGAGTCCAGCCTGCGCGTTAAACAGGGTGAGCTCCTGTTGCCGCTCCA